AGGGAATCATGCAAATGACTCCTAAAGTGAGGGAAGTCGGAGCTCGATCCGTAAGATGGGAAGCCAGGGCAACGCTACGGTCCCGATGCCTATGCGTATACCAAGGGAGAGCCCAACTCAGAGGAACCCGGCTATAGGGAGACCATCATGCGACACAAGCAGGGTATTTTACAGGGTAGAGTGGTAAGAGAGTGGCGACGTCTGAAGTAGGCAGAGCTGATCGTGATGAAGTCCATGGAGCTGTCGATGACGTCCACGATGAGAAGTCCGGAATGCCGTCGAGGAAGAGCCGCAACGTCGACGAGCCGAAGTAGCAAAACTGGAGTGGATGAAGTACTGAGAAGTCAAGGACGTGGGAAGGTAAGTCAAAGTCAATCGTCGTATCGAGCAGGACGACGACGAGTGCGCTGTGGACGCTCAGAAGCATCCGGCTGCTGCTGAAGGTCTGCCTCAGATGGAGCAGGCTCGACTTCAGCGGTCTCCTCAGCCGGGGGAGAAGGAGGAGGGTCAGTGGGCTGAGGAGGAGCAGTGAACCCAGCACGACGAGCACGGTCATAGGCACGCACCAACATGCGAGCGTGCTGCAAGTGCTCGAGGGGCTCCCAGGTAGCCTCCTCATCAGGGTAACCCTTCCAACGTATGAGATACTCGACGTGGGGAGGGTTGTCGTCGGTGACTCAGTGACCAATGATGTCTGAAACGAGGAACTCCTCGTGGCCGTCCACCATGAGGGGTGGAGGGCGCTCGTATGGTTGTCCAGTGAAACGCTCAGACGGTCTGCGGTAAGGACGCAGTAACGAGACGTGGTAGACATCATGCACACGAGCCTGGCGTAGGTAGTCGGGCAGCTTCACACGAAAGTTGACCGGGCTAGATGCCGTATCAGAACCGACGGCCTGGAGGATGCGGCATGGGCCAAAGAAGCGACGTCAAAACTTGCGAAGCGTGTCCGCTTCGAGCTGTAAGTGGCGGGCGTCGATAAGCACATCATCACCGACTTTGAATGGATGGTCCATCCTCGATCGGTTCGCACGTGCTGCCATGCGAGTCTGGGAAGCGGTTATGTGCTCATGTGCGGTCTTCATGACCGACGTCATATGTGCAACCCAATCATCCAGCGCGGGACAACTCGTGTCGGGGTGCATCTGTGACGGTCGAAGAAAGTCCGCGGGAACACGAGGGTGATAGCCGAGGTCGCAATAGTAAGGCGACATCCCCGTGGCTGGCGACAGGGCTTGGTTGTAGGCTATCTCTGTGTGGGCAAGATGAAGATCCCACTGCTGGTCGTCACGAACAATCTTTCGAAGAATATCTCCGAGAGTCCTGTTCATGATATCGGTCTGACCATCAGTCTGAGGATGGTAAGACGAGGAGAAGCGGAACTGAGTGTCGTATACCTCGTGGAGCCGTCGCCAGAATCGGCTGGTAAAGCGCGGGTCACGGTCAGATATGATGCTCAAAGGTAAGCCGTGGTCACGCATGACTCGGTCAAACACGATGTCGGCGACCTCACGTGCACTGATGGCATAGCGGCACGGAACAAAGCGTGCACGCTTCGTGAAGTGGTCGACGACGACCAGGATAGCATCATGACCGCGGGGGGTCGGAGGTCGAAGAGGACCGATAAAGTCCATCAAGATGGACTGCCAACGACCCTCAGGGATAGGAAGAGGCTGGAGCAAACCATAAGGCAGGTGGTTCGCATTGTTCACCTCCTGACAGGTGGGACACTCTGCGACGTAGTCCTTCACAAAGTCCTTGCGCTTCGGCCAGACGTACAGGCGGCTCACACGAGCCAACGTCTTGTGGCAGCCCATATGACCGGCAGCTGCCTGGTCATGGAACTCGGCTACTGCTCGGACAAGTAGCTGTCCTGTGGAGGGAACGCAAATACGGGGCTCTCTGGTGCCCTGTGAACCGTGCCAGTACAAGAGACCGTTGTCCCCGAGAGAGTAGTTCGGGACGGTCTTGCCACTCCGAAGGGTCGCGTGGGCGTCACGATAGTCGGGGCAGTGGCGGTACTGAGTGCGAAACTCGTCGATCACCGAGTGATGGACGGTGGTGACCGAGATGGAAGAGAGCTGGATTTGCTCCTGGTCGTGGTCAGGGCGCCGGGATAGGGCATATGCGACCCGATTAGTCTCACCCTTGATGTGCTCAGTGGTGAAACTAAACTCGGATAGGTCGCGCCACTAGCGAGCCTGTCGAGGAGTGAGCTTCGGCTTAGTCAGAAAAGCCTGGACAACAGAGTTGTCCGTGTGCACCATGAATGGTGCCCCGTGCAGGTAGTGTCGCCAGTGCCGAGCGGCATAAACTACTGCGATAACCTCATGTTCATCAGCAGTGTAGTTGATCTCGGCGGGCAGGAGCTGACGGGAGTAGAAGGCTATCGAACAATCACCTAAGCGAGACTCGACAGTGTCGTCCTCGGTGATGGTAGGAGAATAGTCAATAGAGGGCTCGTCGGTAGCTGGATGAGTAGGCGTCAATCGGGAAGCAGTGGTTGGTGTAGGTGGTGGGAAGCGAGGGATACGAGGATGAGAGGAATCAGGAGAGGAGGGGAAGACCTGAGAAAGCACTGCTCCTATAGCAAAGTCTGACGCATCGATGGTAAGGATAAAAGGGTGATCAAAATCGGGTAGGTGAAGAACCGGTGCGCATGTCACCGCCTTCTTGAGGGCGCAGAAGGCGTCCTCGTGGAGGGGTGTCCAAGCCCAGGGT